TCAACACCCTCAAACGTGCACTGATCGAGGCCCCCGTGCTCGCCCCCCCTGACCTCACATTGCCCTTTATCCTGGACACAGACGCGAGCAATGTGGGCATGGGTGGGGTGCTGGCCCAGGTGGGGCCAGAGGGGGAGAGAGCGGTGGCGTACTTCAGCAAAACATTTGACAAACATGAGCGCCGCTACTGTGTCTCTGGCTCTTGGCTGTTGTGGCTTCCGTCAAACACTTCAAGTACTACCTGGGTGGTCTGCCCTTTACTGTAAGGACTGACCACTCTGCTCTCCAGTGGCTCATGTCTTTCAGAGAGCCAGAGGGGCAGGTGGCACGCTGGCTGGAGGAGCTTCAGCCGTATGACTTCACGGTGGTGCACAGGGCAGGGGCACGCCACTCCAACGCCGACGCCATGTCCCGTCGGCCCTGTACTGCAGATGGCTGCCGCCACTGTGAACGGAGAGAGGGACGGGAGAGAGAGCTGTGTGCAGAGGAGGGGGTCTGTGCCACAGTGTGTCGGGCGAGCGGGCCTGTCTGCTGTGAGCTGCAGACTGTCGACGTGGCTGAATGGGGGCAGCAGCAGGGACGGGACACAGTCCTACAGCCAGTGCTACAGTGGGTAGAGGCGCAGGTGAGGCCACCATGGGAAGAGGTGACAGCGCTCTCACTCGCGACCAAAGGGTTGTGGTCAAAGTTTGAGCGACTGCGGCTGGCTGATGGCGTGTTACAGCGGGCATGGAAGGAGTCAGCTACGGGGGAGGAGAGGTGGCAGGTGGTGGTCCCAAAAGCATTGCGGGAGGCTGTGCTCCAGAGTACTCATGGGGGGGTGGGGACTGGACACTTTGGGGTCACAAAAACACTGCGCCGCCTCCGTCAGGGCTTTTACTGGGGGCAGCACAAGAGGGATGTGGAAGACTTTTGCCGCCGCTGTGACAACTGCACAGCGAGAAAGGGCCCCCCAGGCCTCTCTCATGCTCAGCTCCAACAGTTCCCAGTGGGGGCTCCCATGGAGAGGGTGGGAGTGGATGTAGTTGGGCCGTTTCCCACCACAGACAGTGGAAACCGCTGGGTGCTCACGGCCATGGACTATTTCACAAAATGGCCCGAGGCCTATGCTCTGCCTGACCAGGAGGCAGAGACCATCGTCGACGCCCTGACAGCGGGGATGTTCAGCAGGTTTGGAGCTGCAGAGTCCATCCACAGCGACCAAGGCAGAAACTTTGAGTCCCGTGTGTTCGCCACCATGTGTGAGAGGCTGGGTATGCACAAGACCCGCACTACTCCTCTCCATGCTCAAAGTGATGGCCTTGTGGAGCGCTTCAACAAAACGCTTGGACAGCAGCTGGCCATCGTCTCTTCCAAACACCAGCGTGACTGGGACAAGCACCTGCCTATGGTCCTCATGGCATGCCGCTCCGCTGTCCAAGACTCCACCTCCTGCACGCCTGCCCTCCTCATGCTGGGGAGAGAGATCCGTACCCCTGCGGAGATGGCGTTTGGTCGGCCCCTGGATAGCCCTCATGTTTCCCCGGGGCCGGAGTATGCCCGGAGACTCCAGGACCGCCTGGAGACAGCCCACACCTTCGCCAGAGAGCAGCTGCTGAATGCAGGTGTGAGGCAGAAGAGGAACTATGACGTGCACACCCGGGGAAGGCACTTTGTGGCTGGGGAGCTGGTCTGGGTCTACAGCCCGCTAAGGAAAAAAGGCAGATGCCCCAAGTTGGACAGTCACTGGGTGGGACCATGCAGTGTCCGGGAGAGGGTAGGGGAGGTTGTCTACCGGGTGCAGCTTCCTCCCAGGGGGAGAAAGGTGACACTGCACCGGGACAGGTTAGCCCCATATAGAGGGGCCTCTTCTCCCCAAACCCCAGGAACCCCCACAATTCCCCTCTCTGGCAATGACATTCTCCAGGCACCCAACCCCAGGTGCCGCAGACAAGGCTCCAGACAGCCCACTCCCCCTGTGTCACCGCGTGGTTCCCCAGAGCCACGGACTGTATTACCCGTTCCCGCTTCCTTGTCCCCCATGTCCTTGCCTTCATCCCCTGGTTCCCAGAGGGGCACTCTGCGGCCATCACAGCCACGCAGGCAAAGGAGACCTCTGGGTCGCTTCAGAGACTTTGTTTGTTCCCTCTGGGACGAGGGACTTTGTGGTGGGGGGGCTGTGTAGCGACCCGCACAGACAGCTGTGTGTTATGTGTTAGGCTAGTAGATGGTTGTGTTGTACCTACCAGTACCCAGTGTTCGCGGGGGTCCGACATGTCAATCAACCTGCTATCTGCCAATCACCGGAATGCCTGGAATGTTCTGATGCCGGGCATCCTGACGGTTGGCGGAGTGGCGTGGAGGGGGGTTGGGCAGGGGGATGGAGCATTGGAAGTTAAGACCAGGTTTAGCCTTTGTTCTCTCTCTTTACGTCTGGGCTTCACAAGAGAAGGTCACGATTGGCTTGTGGGTTATCTTTCATTTATTTGGCGTGGGCTACGGCCAAACAGTAGCCTGTGTAAAGTTGGTTTAATAAACCGTCCATTCGTAAACTCAATCCTCTGTCTGGACAGTTGTTATTTTATGATCTATAATAATAATAATAATATAATATGCCATTTAGCAGACGCTTTTATCCAAAGCGACTTACAGTCATGCGTGCATAATTTTTTTTTGTGTATGGGTGGTCCCAGGGATCGAACCCACTACCTTGGCGTTACAAGCGCCGTGCTCTACCAGCTGAGCTACAGAGGACCACGTCAGGTCCTAGTCAGGTCATTACAATATGCAGCAGCTGTTAAAAGGGTTGAAGGTTTGAATGGTGCTACTGAAGAGTCCATTGTGGTGGATAGGACTTCACTGCAGGCTGCAGGGGTTGCCTTTCACCAGTAGGACCCTGACATTTTAAGGGTTAAGAAGGTGGACTTTATAGGTATGGCGATTAATGGCACTGCCAAGGTGGAGAGAAGGTCCAGGAAGATATCATTGTGGATGCGGTGGAGCGGTTCCTGGGACTGAAATATTTATCGGCGGAGGAGTTACATGGAATATTGGCACAAGCCTTACCACCCTTTCAGGCCCTAGAGCCTGGTAAGGGGATATTGAGATTTGAAAGGAAGAAAGAAGTGGGAGTTTTGTTTTGTTTTTGTCAATGTACTATTTTTATTTGGGTAGATAAAGTTAGCTTCCCTATCACATATTCGTCGCCAAACCCACTGGCTCCAGGCCATCTATAAATCACTGCTAGGCAAATCCCCGCCTTATCTTAGCTCATTGGTCACCATAGCAACACCCACCCGTAGTCTGCGCTCCAGCGGGTATATCTCACTGGTCATACCCAAAGCCAACACCTCCTTTGGCCGCAATTCCTTCCAGTTCTCTGCTGCCAATGACTGGAACAAATTGCAAAAATCTCTGAAGCTGGAGACACTTATCTCCCTCACAAACTTTAAGCATCAGTTGTCAGAGCACCTTACCGATCACTGCACCTGTACACAGCCCATCTGAAATTAGCCCGCCCAACTACCTCATCCCTATATTGTTATTTATTTTGCTCATTTGTACCCCAGTATCTCTATTTGCACATCATCTCTTGCACATCTATCATTCCAGTGTTAATACTAATTGTAATTATTTTGCACTATAGCATATTTTATTGCCTTACCTCCATAACTTGCTAAATTTGCACACACTGTATATTATATGTATTTCTGTTGTATTTTTGACTTTGTTTTGTTTTACCCCATATGTAACTCTGTGTTGTTGTTTTTATCGCACTGCTTTGCTTTATCTTGGCCAGGTCGCAGTTGTAAATGAGAACTTGTTCTCAACTGGTTTACCTGGTTAAATAAAGGTGGAAAAAAAAAAAAAAAAAAAAAACATGAATTTTCTTTTCACCTTGTTTTGGTTTTCAACCCGTCCAGTTGGTGGCAGCAATACATCTTTTTGGGTTGTAGTCAGCCATAAAACCCACAGCAGAAGAAGACCACAACATATTCATTTCGACTGAGCACCGGTAAGGAGAAATATCTCTCGCTTAGCATGTAACAATATAACTTATGTTGAGCAAAGCTAGCTATACATTTGGATATAGTATGTGCACTGAGTAGTGTTGCATTTTACTAATCTTGAGACCATTCACATTTATATGTGCTGTTTGAAAACTAGCTAGCTAACGTTAGTGCTGATTTTGGAAATGAGCCAACGTTAACTAAAAGTAACCTACAGTAGCTAGCTAACAAAGTTTGTAATAAGGTAGCTAGTTAGCTAATGAAATAATAATTACAATCCAGACGTGGATACTTATTGTTATGCAGTTTCTGTGGTCTGACAATAAATAAATAAAAATTGGTTGGCCTAGGCTGGTACTTTACTGTGTAGCTTGACCTTGTTTCCTCTAACACAGCCTGCTCTGCCCAGTCCTATACGGTAACTAGCTAGCTGCATGTACTTTTGGAGGGAGTCAAAGCCACTTGCAGAGAAACGAGTATTCAACAATGCTGTGGTATATGTATTGTAGTTAACTTAAAGGTCAGGACTGCTTTACTAAAAATAATAGAATACGCATCCGTTTGAAAATGATCCTAGACTAGGGTTGGCTAGCTGGGTAGGAGTTCCATATTTCACGGGTAGAACTTGATGTGTCAAGATTACGCGCTCAGGAAAGTGGGCGCGTAGGCTAACTTCTATGGTGTTTAGTAAATTGGTTAGCTAAGTACAGTACGTTAGCTAGCTAAGCTACCACAACAAATATATTTGTCATACTTAGGTTTACTAGTTATGTATTGTTTAAACAATACATTTCAGATTTGGTCAAAAGCTGCAGTCAGATGTCAATGAAGTTTCATTGTTAGTAGCTAGCTACTGTTACTGTAGCTTGGTACTGTAAATAATAGATCGAACTGTATCAAGATATGGCTACTACTGTAGTAGGTAGCTGATGTTCTGTTCTTAAAATGTGTGTAAAATATAGCTAACATTACTGTGAGATAATTATAAACAGTTGATTGATATTTCCTTTGCAGAAACATTTGCAGGCTTACACTCCATATATAATCATAATGTATAGACGAAGGTAAGGGTGATGGCTTGCAAACTATACATTCATTGAACTGTTAACATGATCAATGCTGAAGTTGTGGCTTCAAGTATTTTTCTTTTACTAATACCTTGAACATTTGTATTTACAGTGGTCGCTTGCAAACGGCAAAATCTGAAAATGCATCAATCCAGAAAGGCAAGATTACAAAGGTACAGAACTTTCTGGCTTCAACTATACTTTCAGTTCATGATTATTGTGGTCTGACATACAGTACATTCTTTCATTTCAGCAAGGCAACAAAAATAAGTGTCAGCCCTTGTCAAAACGTCAAAGTGGGATTCAGGTAAACGCATAAAGAATACAACAGAAATAAACTCACTGAATATGTCCCATATACCATGAGCTGTAATATTTTAAGACTATTTTATAGCAAACTCAGTCGAACATGTCTGTGATATTCAATCTCACAAAGATTATTTCCATTGTAGAACCAGCTAGTCCTTGAAGGAGTCAGCAACCCCTGCGTTCTTGTGAAAACCCCTGAGAAAAGGGTTGAGACAGCCTGTGAACTGTCTAACTTCGAAGACCTAAGGTCTGGAAAAAAAATTGTGGTGCAGCCATCTCCTCTTCCCCTCAGGTAAGTTGGACATCTATGGTCTCGCACTCTTGAACCTCAGTGCTACTGATGATTGTTTATCCTTTTTGATTCCTTGTATGTCCAGTTGCTTAATCAACACTGTATGTGCGTTGATCAGCTGGGGTTGTCCAGAAGTGTGGGATAAGATGTTGATGAAGGAGCGGAAATACATACACAGCAATAACTTCACGCAGCTGCATCCCAGAATACAGCCCAAGATGAGGTCCATTCTCCTCGACTGGTTACTTGAGGTATGTACAAAAATCATGAACGTTTTACAATTCATCTGTGCGACTGAACTCATATTGATTGTGGACCTGAATGTATTTGATTTGATGGTGACTTTAGACGTCATTGGTGATAAATAAATAAGCCTTCTGTTTCTGTAGTGTGAGGCAACTTGTAGTACACACCCTGAACAGGATGCTAGTGGTGATAATAGCAGCCATGTAAATGTTCTGATGGTTTCTCGTTTCTAGGTGAGTGAGGTCTACACCCTTCATCGGGAGACGTTTTACCTGGCACAGGACTACTTCGACCGGTTCATGCTGATCCAGGAGGACATTGATAAGGACAGACTGCAGCTTATTGGAATCACCTCACTCTTCATCGCAGCTAAAATAGAGGTAAGATGGAACTCTCTAGTTCAGGGCTGCCCAACCCTGTTCCTGGAGAGCTACCGTACTGTAGATTTTTTCTCCATCCTCGGTTGTAACTAACCTGACTCAGTTTATCAACTAGCTAATTGTTAGAATCAGTTGTGATAGATTAGGGTTGTCGCGAAACCCTACAAGATGGTAGCTCTCCAGGAACTGGGTTGGGGAGCCCTGCTCTAGTTTGAAATCCCCTGGTACTTCTCCTGTGTTCTCTAACCTTCCATTTGCATGTAGGGAAAAGTATTGCTCTGACCTATATGTTCTGTTTGCCTAGTGGAAAATGTTGTCCGAGCCTATTGTTGGGCTTGGTGGTCAGATGAGATAATTGGCCTGTTAATGGCCAGCCCAAATAGAAGGAATTTCACACCAACTTTAAACAGCCCACACTTCACACACTTGCTTGTACACACAGGACATGGCCCACATCAGCTGGTGCCAGACACCATCGGTTAGATAAGGTGAAAATGTTTGTTCTGCTTTCACATTTCAGTCTGATCTTAAGTTCTGTTTTGCTGGAAAGGTGCATAATGCCCTACTGTTCTTCTCTTGTAGGAAATGTATCCTCCAAAGCTTCATGAGCTAGCCTATGTAACAGATGGGGCATGCATGGAGGAGGAGATTCTGCAAATGGAACTGGTCATTTTGAAGGTTAGATACCATAATAAAGCTTTGTTTATTCACTTGAAGCGCACTGTCTGCATCCCAAATGGCACCACATAGGCCCATATGGCTTTTGCCAAAAGTAGTGCACTATATAGGTCAGGGCTCTCAACCCTGTTCCTGGAGAGCTACCCTCCCGTAGGCTTTTGCTCCAACAACCCCAGTTGTAACTAACCTGATTCAGTTTATTAACCAGCTAATAATTCGAATCGGGTACACTAGATTAGGGTTGGAGTGAGAACCTACAGGACGGTAGCTCTCCAGGAACAGGGTTGGGGAACCCTGATATAGGGAATAAGGTGCCATTTTGGAAGCAGATAATGTTCTTTAGGGAGTTAAGTAGGTGAACTACAAACGTTGATATATTTTAACTCTATCCTTTATCCATTTAACAGGCATTAAACTGGAGTCTTTGTCCTGAGACCGTTGTTGTATGGCTGAAGCTCATGATCCAGATGGCATCACTGGAAGACCAACCTGACTGTGATATTCTGTTGCCTGAGTTTTCTCAGGAGAATTATATACAGGTCACACGGGTATGTTTACTCACCGAACCAGGCTTTGTTGATTGCCTTTAGCCACCAATCAAGTTACTGCTAGAGAAAAGCGATAGAGATAAATGGTGTCTATTTACAGTGCTTTCAGGAAGTATTCAACCCTTGACATTTTCCACATTTTGTTGTTACAGCCTGAATTTAAAATTGATTAAATTGAGATTTTGTCGCTGGCCTGTACAATGTCAAAGTGAAATTATGTTTTTAGAAATGTTTACAAACTAATGAAAAGCTGAAATGTCTCGAGTCAATAAGTATTCAGCCCCTTTTAATGGCAAGCCTAAATAAGTTCAGGAGTAAACATTTGCTTAACAAGTCACATAAGTTGCATGAACTCACTGTGTGCAATAATAGTGTTTAACATGATTTTTGAATGACTACCTCATCTCTGTACCCCACACATACAATTATCTGTAAGGTCTGTCGAGCAGGGAATTTCAAACCGATTCAACCACAAAGACCAGGGAGGTTTTCCAATGCCTCCTAAAGAAGGGCACCTTCATTGAAATATACCTTTGAGCATGGTGAAGTTATTAATTACACTTTGGATGGTGTATCAATACATCCAGTCACTACAAAGATACAGGCGTCCTTCCTAACTCAGTTGCCGGAGAGGAAGGAAACCGCTCAGGGAGTTCACCATGAGGCCAATGGTGACTTTAAAACGGTTACAGAATTTAATGGCTGTGATAGAAAACTGAGGATGGATCAACAACATTGTAGTTACTCCACAATACTAACCTAATTGACAGAGTGAGAAGAAGGAAACCTGTACAGAATAAATAAATATTCCAAAACATGCATCCTGTTTGCAACGAGGCACTAATGTAATACTGCAAAAAAATTGGCAAAGCAATTACCTTTTTTTGTCCTGAATACAAAGCGTTATGTTTGGGGCAAATCCAACACATTACTGAGTACCACTCTACATATTGTCAACCGTAGTGGTGGCTGCATCATGTTATGGGTATGCTTGTAATCGTTAAGGACTGGGTAGTTTTTCAGGATTAAAAAAAGAAAGGGAATGGAGCTAAGCACAGGCAAAATCCTATAGGAAAACCTGGTTCAGTCTGCTTTCCACCAGACACTGGGAGAGGAATTCACCTTTCAGCAGGACAATAAACTAAAACGAGGCCAAATCTACACTGGAGTTGCTTACCAAGAAGACCATGTTCCGAAGTGGCTGAGCTACAGTTTTGACTTAAATCTGCTTGAAAATCTATGGCAAGACCTGAAAATGGTGGTCTAGCAATGATCAACGAAATGTTGCAAAATCTAGGTGTGCAAAGCTCTTGGAGACCTACCCAGAAAGACTTGCAGCTGTAATCACTGCCAAAGGCACTTCTACAAAGTATTGACTCAGGGGTGTGAATACTTATTTTAATGAGATTTCTGTATTTATTTTTCAATGCATGTGCAAACATTTCAAAAAATATTTTCACTGTCATTATGGGGTATTGTGTTGATGAGTAAAAAAAAAAAATATATATAATCAATTTTGAATTCCGGCTGTAACACAAGATGTGGAATACGTCAAGGGGTATGAATACTTTCTGAAGGCACTGTATCATGATCCCAAATCAGTCAAATTACCTACAGTGCACATATTTACAATGTACCTGTTGTTCTCAGCTCTTAGATCTGTGCATCCTCAATATCAATTCATTGGACTACCAGTATCGGGTGCTGGCGGCGGCAGCGTTATGTCATTACCTACCGTATGAAGTGGTAGAAAAAGTATCAGGTGAGAAACTACACAAGTAATTTATCTATTGTTTTGCTGTTGAGGATGAAATATACATGTGAGACTTTATGCAATGTGATTACTGAGGAGACTGTTATTGTATCTCGCTCTCCCAGGGCTGACGTGGGATGTCCTGGACGGTGTTACTGACTGGATGGCTCCCTTTGTGGATACGGTCGCTGTGTGTGGCAGGGCACAGCTGAAGGACTTTATCAAAGTAGCCTCTGAGGACAGGCATAACATCCAGACACACTCAAGCTACTTACTCATGCTGGTGAGTACTTAGTACCTCAGACACCATTGACTGTTAAAAATCATCTCTTCAATTTCCATACTGTGGATGTCAATGTGGTTGCTGTAAGTAACAAAGTTGTAGTGGAAAGATTCTGTTGGTGAATTGGGATTAAGCTTTGGCCAACCACTTGGTGTCTTTTCTTTTCAGGAAGAGGCCAGGAGGAGGGAGTTGGAGCACCAGTTCCTGACTCCCCCCAACAGCACAGAGAAGCCCATGACACACTGAGCCTGGAGACAGTGGTCTGAAGCTCTAAACTAACACTGGGAAGATAACTGCAAAGAGCCCACTGCCTGTCTACAGACTGGCTCTGTCATATTCTAAAATAGGCAAATACAGGACAGGAGATGGTTCGTGGTTGATAAAGCATCGACTGTTTATCAGGGACCAAAGGAATGACTAGTCTGCTTTGCACCAAGGGTCCAGACCTGGCTGTTTTGCCTAAGATCCTGAGCTGGATGTCCAGCTCATTTAATGAACATGTTTGCATATGAACTTGATTTTTTTTGTTTTTTTTATGTAATGTTTTGAATGAGGACAAGTTTCCTCAATAAAGTATTATGGGTTTATTGGCCTGTGGTACTTGTGCTTAGATTGATCTTTAACTTTATTTATTATTTTAAATTCCACTGATTAGTTTACCAGAACATTACAATTTCTGAGGTTTTATTGAGGAGTTCTGAATTGTATTTCTGGAAGATTCTATTCCTTTAAATCAATTGCAGAGTATGGCATTAACTATATGTACTTTTTATTAGGTACACCCATCTTTATTAGGTACAGTTTATTAGATACACCCATCTAGTACCAGGATGACCCCCCCCCCCTTTGCCACCAGAACAGCCTGAATTCATCGGGGTATGGATTTTAAAAGGTGTGACATTCAAACGTTGCTCAATTTGTATCAAGGGACCTAACGTATGCCAGGAAAACATTCCCCACACCATTACACCAGCAGCCTGTACCGTTGACACCAGGCAAGATTGGGCCATGGACTCATGCTGCTTACGCCAAATCCTCACTGCCATTAGCATGACGCAACAGGAACCAGGATTCGTCGGACCAGGCAACATTTTCCCACTCAATTGTCCAGTGTTGGTGATCACGTGCCCACTGGAGCCACTTCTTGTTTTTAGCTGATAGGAGTGGAACCCGGTGTGGTCAGCGGTTGCAATAGCCGATCCGTGACAAGGACCAACGAGTTGTGCTTTCCAAGATGCCGTTCTGCACATCACTGTTGTACTGTGCCCTTATTTACCTGTTTGTGGCCCGTCTGTTATCTTGCACGATTCTTGCCATTCTCCTTCGACCTCTCTCAACGAGCTGTTTTCGCCCACAGGACTGCCGCTAACTGGATTTTCTGTTTGTCGCACCATTCTCGGTAAACCCTAGACACAGTCGTGCGTGAAAAGCCCAGGAGGCTGGCCATTTCTGAGATACTGGAACCGATGAGCATACCACGCTCAGGTCACTTGTTTTGCCCATTCTTACATTCAATTGAACAGTAACTGAATGCCTGTGTCTGCCTGCTTTGTTTAGCAAGCCACAGAGTGAACCATTTTCGTGAACGGGGTGGTGTAACTAAAACTGGCCACTGAGTATTTTCTTGTATATGTGACCAGAGGTGAAATCTGTTAACTTGAACAACTTCTGAAAGGCTAATGTAATTTATTAAAGTGGTGCTGTTTGTTAAACCAGGCCATTGATTGTGTACCTCAGGGGATTACCATCTCTGACCACAGGGAATTAAACTTCTTACATGTATTGTGTACAAAAGATGAACTGAACTATTTATTTGAAAATGTTTTTCGACCACAAACATTTGTACTTTCCCCCCCCCCCCCCCCCACACGTTTGGTGGCCCGGTTTTATCTAAAAGTACAGTTTGGCCATAGCTTGCAGGAATTTCTTCTTCCTCTTCTGTGCAGCCAGCTGCAGAACTTCCTCGGGGTTACTAGCATTCAGCTCAGTCTGTCCAATCGCTTTAATCTGAGAAGAGATTTGATACAATACATGGCGTAAACAAAACACCTTTGGCCGGTTTCCCTAACACAGAATAAACCTAGTCCTAGATTAAAGTACTTTCAATTGAGAATCTCCACAGCCTGTTTTAGTCCAGGATTAAGCTTAATCTGTACGGAAAACCACCCCTACGGTTTAGTCGATTGGGTTTCTAGGCTCTCCAGACGCATGGCTGTCGACGGAGACTAGATAAGCCATAACAAATGAAGGTACTCAATGGAAATAGATTCTACTTACAGCAATTTGTCTCTTCTCGCTCTCACCCCTTTTATGGTGGATGTCTACATGCATGCACAGTCAAGGGGTAAACATTGTTTGAAAAACTTGCCTGCTAAAATAATGGCTAAGTAAATAACTAAAGATTAAAGGATACGTGTGAGATATTCAAGGATGGTGACGTCCCAGATGTAGTCATAGAATGAATCCATGGCATCGTGACTAATGATGAGATGGAACAAATAGGCCTATATTAGTCGCAGGGCCATCCTTCCAAATATCATCTCGTTGCCTGTGTGTACGAGGCCCTCCCTCCCCATAAATTATGTCATACCTGTTCTGTTCTTGAAGAGCTTTGAATGCTGTCATGTAGTCCACCTCCCTTAGAAACTGGCAAAGAACTGCAACCTAATCAGCAAGACAACGTGATCGTAACATTTACAAAGTTCAAATCTCAACGTACTGAATAAGAACCATTATAAACGTTCTGGAAAGAAGTCTGACCTGTGTGTGACAGTTCAGCATTGAACAACACTTGATCATTCTCTTTAGGACCTGCAAAGAAAAAAGATCAGTGTCACAAATAATCCAGTATTCTTGGGGGTTTTAACAAGAAAACACCAGGGTTGCGGCCAAATGGCACTCTATTCCCTATATAGTGCACTACTTTTGACCAGAGCCCTATGGGTTCCATTTGAGACTCAGCCCCGGTCAGAAAACACCAGACTGTTTCTCTACCTGGTCAGTGTAGACATCAGGAGCCACAGCCTTGGTAAAGAAGTCAGAGCACACTGCCCCAGCCTGGAGGTAGAAATGCAACGCTGCAGAGTACTGGTTGGTCACTGGGGAGACAAAATGGAGGAGAAGGAAATTACTTGACTGTGACAACTAGCTACCCACTAAACTTGTTCTAGGGCCTGCACAGTGCATTCGGAAAGTATTCAGAACCCTTGACTTTCTCCACATTTTGTTACGTTACAGCCTTATTCTGAAATTGATTCAATTGTTTCCCCCCTCAATCTACACACAATTCCCCATAATGACAAAGCAAACACTGGTTTGAAGAAAGTTTTGCTAATTTATTTTAAACTACTCAAATATTAAATTTACATAAGTATTCAGACCCTTTACTCAGTACTTTGTTGAAGCACCTTTGGCAGCGATTACAGCCTTGTCTTCTTGGGTATGACGCTACAAGCTTGGCACCCCTGTATTTGGGGAGTTTCTCCCATTCTTCTCTGCAGATCCTCTCAAGCGCTGTCAGGTTGGATGGGGAGCGTCGCTGCACTGCTATTTTCAGGTCTCTCCAGAGATGTTCGATCGGGTTCAAGTCTGGGCTCTGGCTGGGCCACTCAAGGACATTGAGACTTGTCCCGAAGCCACTCCTGCATTGTCTTGGCTATGTGCTTAGGGTCGTTGTCCTGTTGGAAGGTGAACCTTTGCCCCAGTCTGAGGTCCTGAGGGCTCTGAAGCAGGTTTTCATCAAGGATCTCTCTGTACTTTGCTCCGTTCATCTTTGCCTTGATCCTGACTAACCTCAGTCCCTGCCGCTGAAAAACATCCCCTCAGCATGATGCTGCCACCACCATGCTTCACCTTTGCCTTTTGGCAAACTCCAAGTGGGCTGTCATGTGCCTTTTACTGAGGAGTGGCTTCCGTCTGGCCACTCTACCATAAAGGCCTGATTGGTGGAATGCTGCAGAGATGGGAGAACCTTCCAGAAGGACAACCATCTCCACAGACGAACTCTGGAGCTCTGTCAAAGTGACCATCAGGTTTTTGGTCACCTCCCTGACCAAGGCCCTTCTCCCCCGATTGCTCAGTTTGGCCGGGCGGCCAGCTCTAGGAAGAGTCTTGGTGGTTCCAAACTTTCTCCATTTAAGAATGATGGAGGCCACTGTGTTCTTGGGGACCTTCAATGCTGCAGAAATATTTTGGTACCCTTCCCCAGATCTGTGCCTCGACACAATCCTGTCTCTGTGCTCTACGGACAATTCCTTCGACCTCATGGCTTGGTTTTTGCTCTGACATGCACTGTCAACTGTCGGACCTTATATAGACGGGTGTGTGTGCCTTTCTAAATCATGTCCAATCAATTGAATTTACCACAGGTGGACTCCAATCAAGTTGTAGAAACATCAAGGATGATCAAAGGAAACAGGATGCACCTGAGCTCAATTCCGAGTCTCATAGCAAAGGGTCTGAATACTTATGTAAATAAGGTATTTTTATTTTATTTTTTGCAGAAATGTCTAAATACCTGTTTTCGCTTTGTCATTATGGTGCATTGTGTGTAGATTGAGGTAAAACAATTATTTAATCCATTTTAGAATAAGGCTGTAATGTAACAAAAATGTGTAGAAAGTCAAGGGGTCTGATACAGTGTACAAAACATGAAGAACACCTTCCTAATATTGAGTTGCACCCCTTTCCCCCCTTTTTGCCCTTAAGAACAGCCTCAATTCGTCTGGGCATTGACTCTACAAGGTGTTGAAAGCGTTCCACAGGGATGCTGGCCCATGTTGACTCCAATGCTTCCCACAGTTGTGTCAAGTTGGCTGGATGTCTTTGGGTGGTGGACAATTGTTGATACACCTGGGAAACTGTTGAGCGTGAAAGATCCAGCAGCGTTGCAGTTCTGGCACCTAGTACCATACCCCGTTCAAAGGCAAAAATATTTTGTCTGCCCATTCACCCTCTGAATGGCACATACGCAATCATTGTCTAAAGGCTTAACAATCCTTCTTTAACCTGTCTCTACACTGATTGAAGTAGATTTAACAAGTGACATCAATAAGATATAATAGCTTTCACTTGGATTCACCTGGTCAGCCTGTCATGGAAAGAGCAGGTGCTCATAATGTTTTGTACACTCAGTGTATATGAAGTGACTCGGAGTAGGAGGGCTGATTTATGGCCAGTTTTGCCTTTTAGATCACAATGAATAAGATCACATGGACAAAGGGGATCTGATCCTAGATCAGCACTACTCTGAGACGCTTGATACATACGCCCCCTGGTTAGGTTCTCCACCACCATTTGAGTGCTGCTTACCAAAGTAGATGTCAGCCTGTGTGATGAGCCAGGACTGGTTGTTGGGGTTCAGTGTAAGGGCGTAGGTCACAAGCTCTTTAACTGTCACAGCCACTGCCTCAACATCCACAGCCTGCATGCTAGAAGACAAACATTATCTAAGACAGTAACTAGCCTTATTGTCGGGTGAGTAGCAAAGTAAATAGTCTTCATAAACTCATACGGTGAGAAGACACTATCTTTTAGAAACTCAAAAATGGAACTCAATGGAAAATAGGACCACATTCTGTAGCCATATAGAACCAAACAGGTATTCATACTTTGCCAGGGTTGATGGCCAAATGGCAAGGTGTTCTGCTGTCACTTCATTGACAATATCATCCTGTAGAGAGAAGCAAATTTGTTCAACCATGAGAGAACATGTTTCGTTATAGCCTGCACCAGCGTGCGGAAGGTGGCCGAACATACCCGCACTATGCTATGAAACCTCACGAAAAGCGAGATAAGGGTGGTCAGCACCAGTGGTTCCCGAAGCTTCTTGATGAAAGTGATGAATCGGCTCCTAAAAACAATACGGGAAACGTCAGCAAGAAGGAGACTTAGCACATTGATGCCTACCTCAATTTTCAGTATAAACTGATGAGGACTAAGCCAGGTGAAGAAACCTGTAGTTAACCTAAGTGTAATCATGTTTATCTTATCCATTCTTATGTGGTCATTGACCAACTATGACTACCGGCCCGTTTACCTTTGCAGGATGCCCATACTGGACTCTCTCTGTTTGATGAGGCTGACACGTCCGTCGCTGTTTCTCTTGTGCTGGTTGGACACACTGCAGATCTGCACAACCACCTCCCACAACTCTTTGGCTGCACGCCGGCTCTCTTTAGGACCAGGGAGCTCCTTACAGGTGGAGGCCAAGAGCTGACCCAGCTATTGGGGTCAAAAGGTGTGCCACAGGGGTAGAGGAGATAAAAGCTAAGGATTTGAGTCGATCACCAGACCACGATTGGCAGAACACAATACAACTTAACTGGCACACAAGTAACATTGAATACCTCTCAATATCACAAAGCAATAACCAATGTGGTAGTTTTGTGTGTCAGAAATATTTGTATATGGTTCAGTCACAGAACACTGGATAAACACAATCTTATATCCTCCAGACATTCAAGTCAGATAGAAAGTGAGGCGGCGTGCTGTCTTTGAGAGGCCTGTACCTTGATGTAGGGGTTGTTCATGACCAGCTGCTGGGGCACCTGCAGTGTCAGGTATTCATTCTCCTTCCAGTTCAACATGAAGGCCACACACTCCTCCCCTACTATCTGGCGCAGTGGGAGATCTGGAAATGGCAAGAAACACACAGGGACCATAGTCGTACATAGAGTTGCGGCCAAATATATTGGCACCCTTGTACTTTTCTTAAACAATTCCAAATGTTCAACATTGTAGAACCAATTTTGTTTTTGTAAACTTCAGTTTATAATTTTAATTTAGAAAATAAAAACATGGCATGGGCAAAATTATTGGCACCCCAGAGGTAGTACTTGGTCACACAGCCTTTGGCCAAGTTAACTGCCAACAAATGCTTCTTGTAACCATCAATGAGCTTGCTGCTCCTTTCTACTGGCAATTTCGCCCACTTTTAGCAGCAAACTGCTCCAATTCTTCAATGTTTGAGGGGTGTCCTACACCAACTGCTGTTTTCAGATCTTGCCATAAGTTTTACTTTTTTTACCCCCCTTTTACTACCCAATTTCGTGATTACGATCTTGTCTCATGGCTGCAACTCCCCAACGGGCTCAGGAGAGGCGAAGGTCGAGTCATGCATCCTCTGAAACATGACCCGCCAAACCGCACTTCTTAACACCCGCTCGCTTAACCCGGAAGCCAGCTGCACCAATGTGTCGGACGGAAACATCGTTCAACTGACGACCGAAGTCAGCCTGCAAGCGCCCGGCCCGCCACAAGGAGTCGCTAGAGTGCGATGAGCCAAGTAAAGCCCCCTCGGCCAAACCCTCCCCTAACCGGGACGACGCTAGGCCAATTGTGCACCGCTCTATGGGATTCCCGGTCATGGGCCGGTAATGACACAGCATGGGATCGAACCCCAGGCTGTAGTGACACTGCGATGCAGTGCTTAGACCGCTGCACCACTCGGGAGGCCCTCGCCATAGGTTTTGGATGCGATTCAGAGCTGCCCACTTAACAGTCCAGCATCTCTTCTTGAACCATTCCTGGGTGAACCATTCCACAACCTTCAATGGAGACCCAGGTTGCTTTGCTGTCTCTGGTACTGGGTGACTTGAACGTGTGCAAGACATCATGAAATCAGCAGATTATCAAGGTGTTTTGGAGTGCAATGTTCAACCCAGGGTCCAAAACCTGTGTCTCTGTTGAAGGTTGTGGGTATTCCAGCAGGACAACAACCCCCAACACATATCAAAAGCACCCTGGAATGGTTCAAGAACAAACATTGAAAAGTTCTGGAGTGTTGAAAATGTGACAAATATTTTAAAATGTAAATTTATTTGAGAAGAAATAGGGAATTATTTAAGAAAAGTGCAAGGGTGCCAATATATTTGGCCGCAACTGTATATTATAGGACACTGATATGGCAAAATGCTGAGGGACCGGAGGCCTGAAATCAAACTTTCAATTCCATGTGCTTCATTATGTATGCCTTGAACGTTTCATGAGTAAAGTAATTGTTTCTCCATTCACCTACCATGTATTCTCATCTCCAGGTAGCCTCGCACCCTGCTGACCAGATCGGGTGGGGGTCTGACATTGCTGCCCTCGGCCGCCCCGGTTTCATGGGCCCGCACCTCCAGAAGCAGCATTTCGTTCAGCATCACCTGCCTTAGCTTAGGAGAGAACTCCGTCACCAGCTCCAGACAGGCTGAGAAGAGCTGCCGCGTGTGGGCAAAGTCCTGGGATACCAACAACATTACAAAGATGAGATCAACCCAAGTTCTTTATGGGCTTGTTTCCCAGACATAGATTACGCCTAGTCCTGGACTAAAAAGCAGAAAGCGGTTTTTAGTCCAGGGTTAGGCCTAATATGTGTCTGAGAAACCGGACCTACAAGTATTACAAAATCAAATTTTGTTAACAAGAAATACATTCCCATCTTCTATCTACCAATAGTAACATTGTATTGACCCATGAACTTCATATTCCATAATACTCATGTTTTTATGGAGAATTTGAAAGTGATAGACCTTTACAGTGATGCAGTGAAGCCCTTTGGCCATGAGGATGTACACCAGATCCTTGGTCAGGTTGTCTTTGATGTTGAGGATCACATTGATATAGTCTGGAGGTACTTCCCACTGTAAATACACATAATAAAGTTTCAGGCAAGTATCAATCTAACAAAATCACTGCTACCATTTAAAATAATAGGCACTATAGAAGCAGTCTGTGTGTCCAGCCGTGGTGACCTTTGAACTCTGACCTTGTTGTTAACCCTCCAGAAGGGTCGTTCGGCCATGCCGTGCAGCTCAATGAGGATCTGTCGGATGCGGCGGGCGTCCAGGCAGAGGATGAGCTGCTGCTCCAGCTGTCCAATGTTGACACTGGCCGCGGCTGGGGAGCAACACGGAACAGAAGGACAAGCACAGGATCAGAGGGAAATGCACATCCATAACATAATACATGGGAAAGAAGACTGCATCACTCATTGATGGGAGCTTTAGCTTAACAAGAGGGCAAACTTTCCGTGCGAGACAGACAAGAGGTATGATAAATAAGTAATCTACTAAATCAACTCCTAAGAATCCACATACTGGCCCCTACTCCTCCACCCCTTCCATTCAGAGCTCTGAATACTTGCCGAAGTGATGTTGTGTGGCACCTGTGTTTAGCCAGAGAGCAGTGATAATATAGCAGCATACCTGGGATGTCGTAGAAGGAGGGCAGAGGCTTGGCGTAGAGGTTGACCGTGGCTGACCTCTTCCTCATCTGCTCCACCAGGATCTTCCTCTCCTCCTCCTTCAGCAGCTCCGTGAACAGCTTGTGGGCGGTGACCACGAACACCAGGTGGGGCTCTGCCAAGCTCTCACACAGGGTTCTGCATGGGAGTTGGGACAATGATGTATAAAGATATGAATATACAGTGGGGAAAAAAAGTATTTAGTCAGCCACCAATTGTGCAAGTTCTCCCACTTAAAAAGATGAGAGGCCTGTAATTTTCATCATAGGTACACGTCAACTATGACAGACAAAATGAGAAAAAAAAATCCAGAAAATCACATTGTAGGATTTTTAATGAATTTATTTGCAAAGTATGGTGGAAAATAAGTATTTGGTCAATAACAAAAGTTTCTCAATACTTTTATATACCCTTTGTTGGCAATGACACAGGTCAAACGTTTTCTGTAAGTCTTCACAAGGTTTTCACACACTGTTGCTGGTATTTTGGCCCATTCCTCCATGCAGATCTCCTCTAGAGCAGTGATGTTTTGGGGCTGTCGCTGGGCAACACAGACTTTCAACTCCCTCCAAAGATTTTCTATGGGGTTGAGATCTGGAGACTGGCTAGGCCACTCCAGGACCTTGAAATGCTTCTTACGAAGCCTCTCCTTCGTTGCCCGGGCGGTATGTTTGGGATCATTGTCATGCTGAAAGACCCAGCCACGTTTCATCTTCAATGCCCTTGCTGATGGAAGGAGGTTTTCACTCAAAATCTCACGATACATGGCCCCTTTCATTCTTTCCTTTACACGGATCAGTCGTCCTGGTCCCTTTGCAGAAAAACAGCCCCAAAGCATGATGTTTCCACCCCCATGCTTCACAGTAGGTATGGTGTTCTTTGGATGCAACTCAGCATTCTTTGTCCTCCAAACACGACGAGTTGAGTTTTTACCAAAAAGTTACATTTTGGTTTCATCTGACCACATGACATTCTCCCAATCCTCTTCTGGATCATCCAAATGCACTCTAGCAAACTTCAGACGGACCTGGACATGTACTGGCTTAAGCAGGGGGACACGTCTGGCACTGCAGGATTTGAGTCCCTGGCGGCATAGTGTGTTACTGATGGTAGGCTTTGTTACTTTGGTCCCAGCTCTCTGCAGGTCATTCACTAGGTCCCCCCGTGTGGTTCTGGGATTTTTGCTCACCGTTCTTGTGATCATTTTGACCCCACGGGGTGAGATCTTGCGTGGAGCCCCAGATCGAGGGAGATTATCAGTGGTCTTGTATGTCTTCCATTTCCTAATAATTGCTCCCACAGTTGATTTCTTCAAACCAAGCTGCTTACCTATTGCAGATTCAGTCTTCCCAGCCTGGTGCAGGTCTACAATTTTGTTTCTGGTGTCCTTTGACAGCTCTTTGGTCTTGGCCATAGTGGAGTTTGGAGTGTGACTGAGGTTGTGGACAGGTGTCTTTTATACTGATAACAAGTTCAAACAGGTGTCTTTTATACTGATAACAAGTTCAAACAGGTGCCATTAATACAGGTAACGAGTGGAGGACAGAGGAGCCTCTTAAAGAAGAAGTTACAGGTCTGTGAGAGCCAGAAATCTTGCTTGTTTGTAGGTGACCAAATACTTATTTTCCACCATAATTTGCAAATAAATTCATAAAAAATCCTACAATGTGATTTTCTGGAAAAAAAAATCTCAATTTGTCTGTCATAGTTGACGTGTACCTATGATGAAAATTACAGGCCTCTCATCTTTTTAAGTGGGAGAACTTGCACAATTGGTGGCTGACTAAATACTTTTTTTCCCCACTGTATGCATGTCTATGATGGGGAGGCATCAAATGTCAGGACAGGTATCAGCATTTGGCATACTGCTCACCATCAACAAGCTAGACCAACACATTAGATCTGCAGTTATTACAAGCTTACAAAATGTCTCTAATCTAAGTTAATCAACTCAATCCTACGCACTTTAGAAAAATAACCATCTTCCTCTTGGACGTCTCTGATGAATGGTCCTTGTCTAATGACCTTGTGCATACCTGTAAGAGGAAACACAGTTTAAATGTAGATTTATAGATAGAAATTCCGTTTTCATTGAGAAGAGTGGGTTTGTTAGCCTGGTTAAACCAGACTGAAACAATGGTAAGCACAGCATTTATTGTGTTTTAACCAGGCTATGAGTTTGTAGTTGTACCTCTAGCATAAAGTCCACCACGTGTTTTCTAGGCTTGTGGAGCAGCTGCTGAAAACGCACACTGAGGACCTCCCCTTGCAGGGCGTCTCGAACAGCATTGCACACGCAAAGCTTGTGACACACCTCGTCCAGGCCCCTCTCCCTGTGTACACCATGAAAACAGAGAATTAACATAACACTGCCAAACATTTAAACGTCTTAATGCTGGGATTTCTTGCTAGCAATCAAGACTGATTTGCCTCATTTCAATACATTTGGTTATCTAAGAAAAATATTTACGCCTAAAACAGTTAAGTGGTGTATAGTACACGTCAAAGATACCAGGGCGGCAGGTAGCTTAGTGGTTAAGAGCGTTGTGCCAGTAACCGAAAGGTCCCTGGTTCTAATCCCCGAGCCGACTAGGTGAAAAATCTGTCGATGTGCCCTTGAGCAAGGCACTTAACCCTAATTGCTCCTGTAAGTCGCTCTGGATAAGAGCGTCTGCTAAATGACAAAAAAAAAAAAAAAAAAAAAAAACAATTTTTATTCTGGGTTGAATGATTTAACCACCAAAAGTGTTCTCACCCTTGCTGGACTTTGTGCAAAAACTCCCTCAGGACAGACTGTCTGAGGTGGTTGGGCAAGCTGAGTGACACATTGTCTTTGATGAAAGCCTCTACAAGAGCCTGAGGAAAAGAAGAGAGGCTTCAATTACTTCAAAGACTTCCGGTTACTGAGCAAGATGGTGGAGTTTTGCTCACGCTGGTGCAAACTTTTAAAATGCTATTTCTATCGTTATTTTGATCATCTCTTAACTAATCACAAACAAGGATGAACACTGAAACGCCACCGAAGAGAAATATCGATATGTTGGACCTGACTACCCAGTCTACAAATCAAGAAGATAAGAAATCGAGGATGTCGCTTGCAGACGGCGTTCCCCACTAAACACTTTCTGTATTTGGGGCTACAGGGACGCAACTCCCCGGCAAGGATGAGTCGGTTTTATCTTAACTCTTTTCGGGAAAGCTTGGTGACCTAAAATACTCTTTACTTGAAATGCGCACTGATATAAAATCTACCCGTGTCACAGTCAAATGCATCCTCACAGACATGGAATTATTCAAGATGAAATTCATCCAACTTGAGACTAAAAAACACAAAGATAAACTAGGCTGTTGCAACACAATCATCCCACACAGACACAATACAACCGAAACAATGTAAACACAACACTGTGATGAAATCAGTACCTATGCAGAGAACAGTTTGTCTCCCAATATATCCCTTATATAATGACTGACGTACAATATTAATGAGGATCACATACTTAGGGATATACAGTTGAAGTCTGAAGTTTACATACACCTTAGCCAAATACATTTAAACTCAGTTTTTCACAATTTCTGACATTGAATCCTAGTAAAAATTCCCTGTCTTAGGTCAGTTAGGATCACCACTTTATTTTAAGAATGTGAAATGTCAGAATAATAGTAGAGTGATTTATTTAAGCTTTTATTTCTTTCATCACATTCCCAGTGGGTCAGAAGTTTACATACACTCAATTAGTATTTGGTAGCATTGCCTTTAAATTGTTTAACTTGGGTCAAACGTTTCGGGTAGCCTTCCACAAGCTTCCCACAATAAGTTGGGTGAATTTTGGCCCATTCCTCCTGACAGAGCTGGTGTAACTGAGTCAGGTTTGTAGGCCTCCTTGCTCGCAAACACTTTTTCAGCTCTGCCCACACATTTTCTATATGTTTGAGGTCAGGGCTTTGTGATGGCCACTCCAATACCTTGACTTTGTTGTCCTTAAGCCATTTTGCCACAACTTTGGAAGTATGCCTGGTGTCGTTGTCCATTTGGAAGACCCATTTGCGACCAAGCTTTAACTTCCTGACTGATGTCTTGAGATGTTGCTTCAATATATCCACATACATTTTCCTTCCTCGTGATGCCATCTATTTTGTGAAGTGTACCAGTCCCTCCTGCAGCAAAGCACCCCCACAGCATGATGCTGCCACCCCCGTGCTTCACGGTTGGGATGGTGTTCTTCGGCTTGCAAGCTCCCCCCTTTTTCCTCCAAACATAACAACGGTCATTATGGCCAAACAGTTCTATTTTTGTTTCATCAGACCAGAGGACATTTCTCCAAAAAGTACGATCTTTGTCCCCATGTGCAGTTGCAAACCATAGTCTGGCTTTTCTATGGCGGTTTTGGAGCAGTGCCTTCTTCCTTGCTGAACGGCCTTTCAGGTTATGTCGATATAGGACTCGTTTTACTGTGGATATAGATACGTTTGAACCTGTTTCCTCCAGCATCTTCACAAGGTCCTTTGCTGTTGTTCTGTGATTGATTCGCGCTTTTTGCACCAAAATACGTTCATCTCTAGGAGACAGAACGCGTCTCCTTCCTGAGCGGTATGACGGCTGCATGGTCCCATGGTGTTTATACTTGCGTGCTATTGTTTGTACAGATGAACGTGGTACCTTCAGACATTTGGAAATTGCTCCCAAGGATGAACCAGACTTATGTAGGTCTACAATTTGTTTTAAGCAAAGAGGCACTGAGTTTGAAGGTAGGCCTTGAAATACATCCACAGGTACACCTCCAATAACTCAGATAATGTCAATTAGCCTATCAGAAGCTTCTAAAGCCAAGACATCATTTTCTGGAATTTTCCAAGCTGTTTAAAGGCACAGTCAACTTAGTGTATGTAAGCTTCTGACCCACTGGAATTGTGATACAGTGAATTATAAGTGAAATAATCTGTCTGTAAACAATTGTTTGAAAAATTATGTCCTAACCGACTTGCCAAAACTATAGTTTATTAACAAGACATTTGTGGAGTGGTTGAAAACGAGTTTTAATGACTCCAACCTAAGTGTATGTAAACTTCCGACTTCAACTGTAGATATCTTGGTGAGAAATTTCATTTGGAATGGGAAACGTCCTAGAATTAGACTCCACCTTACAATGCCCAAAAAAGTTTGGAAGGCTCTCTTTACCCAACTTTAAACTCTACTATTGGGCATTTCAGCTGAGGTCATTGACTATTTGGCATGACTCTTCATCTGATGTCCCTTTGCGGAAAATAGAGGAGGCCAAGTCTCACCCAATTAGAATTCAGGACCTTCCTTCTTCTGGGATAAAGCAAAAAAAAACTGCCTAATCTTTTATGGGATCTATTATTTTTAAAAATACATTGACTGTTTGGTACCAAATCAATAATTATCTGGGCACAACTTGCAATTTCCATGAGTTATGTCCTATTTGGAATAACAATTTTATTTTATCTGGCTTTATGCCGTTTACATTCCCTCCGTGGTCTAAGCAAGACATTCTTGTTTTAAAGTTTATCTTCAACCTGCAAGGGCTTTGTTGCTTTCAAGATCTGAAAGAGTCATTCTCTCCCTGGTTCTTCTTGATTGAAAACCTATGGTGTACCATGGGACACCAAACCAAGCTCCCACTCTTTACTGAAACCACTTTCATGTCCAGGGAAAGCCGGAATGCCGTCCTCACTATATGATAGGCTAGTGACTCATAATATAAAACATCTACCTGTTATGGAGATCTGGGAGAAGGAACTACAAAGTGCAGGATTTGAATGGGATTGGACCACGATATGGGGCAATATTTTTGCCTTTTCTAAGAGCGTTGGCCATCAATTTATTAATTGCAAATTCGCTCAAAGGCTTTATTTAACCCCAGAGCGAAGGTTCAAAATGAAGCTTTTGGACAGTGATGTAAGTAATAAATATACCCAATCTGAGGTGGGCATATGTTTTGGAGCGTGTACCGGTAAAGTCTCTTTGGGTTTATGTTGTTTGTGTTTTAAATGGTATTCTTGTCAGGAACCTACCTGTTTGCCCATCCCTCCTCCTGCTGGGTTGTAGCCGTAGCAATTAATGATCTTGTCAAGAGAGGCGGATTGTTATGGCTGCATTAACAGCAAGGTATTTAAACCGGGTATTGCCCTTTGCAGATGTTGGTTGCTTATGTACTTGGACATTGCGCAGCTGGAAAGATCCACTGCCAGTCTGCGTAGGGCCAAGCCCAAAACTTTGGTCAATTGGTCACATGCAATCTCCCACTTGCAAGAGCTAATTTAACAACAATGTGAGATAGGAAAAAGGCAGAGCAGGGCAATGCTATGTGGCTCTGGGTTGGTAGGCTTTGAGAATTACATTTTAACAGTTTTAATTTGGAAATACTGAAATGTTTTGTCTTTAATCTATTTAGTTTTGTCCTTTTTAATTTGTATGATGTTGTTTTAGTTTTGAGATTTTGTTTGTTTTCCCCCTATTGAACTGTACATATTAATATCGTGAAACTGTAATTGTCTAGGACATGCAAGAAAAACAAATAAATAATTATTCACAAAATTACTGATTGTGTGGCTTTCAGTTCCTTACATAATGCCTAAACCGCAGGAGAAAACATTTTCTACCATCATCAGCAGGGCACAGTCTACATTGGTGCTAAGTAGTTTTTTAGCTTGTTGCATTTTTGTATTTATTTTTTCCAGGCTGACTGACCTGGTAGTTCTGAGTTCTGATGAGGCTGTTGATCTGTCCGTAGGGGTTTAGCTGGGTGTCACTGGGGTCCGAGGCTCCAGTCAGGGCCCTGCAGGCGTTCCAGTACCCAGCAAGACGCTTCTCATCCAGGTGAACGTGAAGCGTGAAGTCGAACTGCAATACAAGAACAGCAGAGCTACAGTGATGAGCAACATTAACACAAATACAAACACTCAAATCAAATTGAATCAAAGTCAGACCAAATGTAAGATATGTTTTTGAATATATTTTAGTGCAAGTGACCATGAAACTACTAAAGCAAAATATAACAACAACTACAGCTTAATACTGAACCTTCAACAGCAACTCCCTTGTTTGTTGAAAATGCTCTCTGGCCTTCTCATATGCCAGTTGGTCTGAGCAGCCTTGTTGAAAGAAAATACCTCCCAAATCGTAATGCACCTGTAGAACACAAGACGTTCTTTACCAAGAGCTTGAGCTCTGTGAGCCGTTCTCTCTGGCCATACTGCATCCAATAGGAGAATCTTCTATTTAGAGTAGTCTACCCATAGAATGACATATATAACTTTAATAGGACATATATTAAACAATAATTATATATATAATAATATAGTAATTTAATAGTCTCTGTGAGTCTACCCACCTGACAGTGCAGCTCATCAGCACTGATCCTAAGGCCTGCTGTGGAGGACTCCGTTTCCCCGTTAGTAGTACTGGGGTCGGCAGCCAGCAGGTCCAGAGTCCTCAGGGTATGGATGTAGAAGTCCTTCTTCAGCCCCAGAGCACCCTCTAACACCATGATAGAGTCCGCTGCCTGCTCTTTCAACTGCAATAGGAGACAGTGACACAGCACCATGTAATCCCTCAGGGCATTCACTCATGTTTTAAAATGGTGTTCTGTTGTCTAATATGACCTAAGGAAAATAGCACTCACCACGCTCAGGATGTTTTCAGTTAGCTCTTTCTCCTGCTGCACAATATTCAACCTATAGACAACATGGAAAATGAATATAATGCTGTACTGATGAAAATCTTGTCATACGTACAGCAATACCAATTTAGTTCTGAAAGTAGAAGGAGAACCAAAGAACCTACATGTTCATCTGATGAGGCCCAGGTTTGGTCTGTTTTTCTGGAAAACTACTCAACACAATGGTTCGTATGGCCCTTTGAGAGTCAAAATATGGATACAATTATTAGAAATGACAGAATTATGTCAACCTGGTGGTCCATTATACAGTACAATCAATCCTTTTCTGCAGAAAGTGTTCTCCAGTGCCCATTCTCACCAGCGGTTGTAGATGATGACAGCCATGGCAGTGGTGGGAGGCAAGGTGGACAGATCCAGGTCAACATGTTTCACTCCAGGTGGAACCTTACTCACACACAGCAGCTCATTCAGCAGCATGTTCAACACAGGGATAGTCAAGCTAAGGAGGGAAAAAGGATGTGTCAATTCAATATGAGACACCTACATAAAAACAAACAAAAACCGAACTACTATCCTAACTTTTCAGGGTAATGGAATAACAACAAATTCTCGAATAAAAAGTCACTGCAAACAGATGTTTCTACGCCACACTTACCCTTTCTCCAATACATCTAGATCCCACTTCATGTGTGCTGCTACTTTAAGAGCCAACAGCTTCAGAGTGCGGTTCCTGCGATTGTCTGCAGGAGGCTGGACTTGATTCTGCTCGTTCACAGAGGGCTTGGCCGCTTGTTCAAGGAACTGGATGACAAGCTGCACTGGAACAGGATCTGAGGGAGGGAAACATATTTATATACGTTTTCAAACAAACCAGTCGAGTTTGAGTCCACTCATGTGTAAGTTCAATCACTGCTACCAATATGGTTATGCCAATCAGATCTGGACCAATATTCAGAGAGGATTCTCTCTCTTTCTTTCGGCAGACCTGGATGGGACTTCTGGAGGTGGTTCTCCAGCAGCATCTCATCCAGGAGAAACTCGAACCAGGAGGTCTGAGGAGGAGTGCTCGGCCGGCTGCCGCTCACAGCCACACGGTCCGCCGCCTCTGCACTCATCTCCACCTGTCAGTGTCACACAGTCTTGGTTACACGTAGCCATAGACACCAACTCTAGTGTCTATTAACGAAGGCATCTTCTGTCCCGGGAGGGAAGGGTCTGAACGTTAACACGCATTGCTTGCAGTACAGTTTTGGAAACATTAGGACCTTATCTTTCATATCAGTGAGAAATATATATTTTTAACTAACGGTTAAATTACTACACACACATTTATAAGGTTAGGGTTCCCACATCGTCATAGCTCCATGTTACAATGCTTGTTTACGGAAGACAGAGGCGATCGACCACCTGTACTAATGATCTATCTAGCGGGCTCCGAACACCTGTGTAACGGAAGAAGGATGCCAGAAAAGTGTTGTAAAAAAATACTGTTGGCTGCTGCAACTGCTAAAACTGGTTACAACAGTGTACAGTACATGTATATTTTGCATTTGTGAAATTATTTTTATGTGATGTGAAAGTAGAGGGTTCTATATTTCCAAAACCATATCGCAAGTGAGGGCTATTAACATTTCTAAATGTTAAAACAGAGTGTGGGCGACACTTACATCTGAGAACTCTAGGGATAAGGGAGAATGCTTTCTTGGCTTCTGGAGAGCAAGGTTACATGATGCTTACATTTAAATTTGTAAGAAGTTTACAATGCTTGTTAGAATTTTTTATTTTATTTTACCTTTATTTAACCAGGTAAGCCAGTTGAGAACAAGTTCTCATTTACAACTGCAACCTGGCCAAGATAAAGCAAAGCAGTGCGATAAAAACAACAAACACAGAGTTACATATGGAATAAACAAAACGTACAGTCAATAACACAATAGAAAATCTATATACAGTGTGTGCAAATGTGGTAAGTTATGGAGGTATGGCAATAAATAGGCCATAGTGCAAAATAATTACAATTTAGTATTAACACTGGAGTGATAGATGTGCAGAAGATGATGTGCAAATAGAGATACTGGGGTGCAAATGAGCAAAATAAATAACGATGTAAATAACAATATGGGGATGAGGTAGTTGGGTGGGCTAATTACAGATGGGCTGTGTACAGGTACAGTGATTGGTAAGCTGCTCTGACAACTGATGCTTAAAGATAGTGAGGGAGATAAGTGTCTCCAGCTTCAGAGATTTTTGCAGTTCGTTCCAGTCATTTGCAGCAGAGAACTGGAAGGAATGGCGGCCAAAGGAGGTGTTGGCTTTGGGGATGACCAGTGAGATATACCTGCGCATACTACGGGTGGGTGTTGCTATGGTGACCAATGAGCTAAGATAAGGCGGGGATTTGCCTAGAAGAGATTTATAGATGACCTGGAGCCAGTGGGTTTGGCAACGAATATGTAGTGAGGGCCAGCCAACAAGAGCGTACAGGTCACAGTGGTGGGTAGTATATGGGGCTGGGGCTTTGGTGACAAAACGGATGGCACTGTGATAGACTACATCCAATTTGCTGAGTATAGTGTTGGAAGCTATTTTGTAAATGACATCACCGAAGTCAAGGATCGGTAGGATAGTCCGTTTTCTGAGGGCATGTTTAGCAGCACGAGTGAAGGAGGCTTTGTTGCGAAATAGGAAGCCGATTCTAGATTTAACTTTGGATTGGAGATGCTTAATGTGAGTCTGGAAGGAGAGTTTACGGTCTAACCAGACACCTAGGTATTTGTAGTTGTCCACATATTCTAAGTCAGACCCGCCGATAGTAGTGATTCTAGTCGGGCGGGCGGTTGCAAGCAGCGTTCGATTGAAGAGCATGCATTTAGTTTTACTAGCGTTTAAGAGCAGCTGGAGGCCACGGAAGGAGTGTTGTATGGCATTGAAGCTCGTTTGGAGGTTTGTTAACACAGTGTCCAATGAAGGGCCAGATGCATACAAAATGGTGTCGTCTGCGTAGAGGTGGATCTGAGAGTCACCAGCAGCAAGAGCGACATCATTGATATTCACAGAGAATAGAGTCGGCCCGAGAATTGAACCCTGTGGCACCCCCATAGAGACTGCCAGAGGTCCAGACAACAGGCCCTCCGATTTGACACATTGAACTCTATCTGAGAAGTAGTTGGTGAACCAGGCGAGGCAGTCATTTGAGAAACCAAGGCTATTTAGTCTGCCAATAATAATCTGGTGATTGACAGAGTCAAAAGCCTTGGCCAGGTCGACAAAGACGGCTGCACAGTACTGTCTTTTATCGATCGCGGTTATTATATCGTTTAGGACCTTGAGCGTGGCTGAGGTGCACCCATGACGAGCTTGGAAACCAGATTGCATAGTGGAGAAGGTATGGTGGGGGATCTGTTTGTTAACTTGGCTTTCAAATACTTTCGAAAGGCAGGGCAGGATGGATATAGGTCTGTAACAGTTTGGATCTAGAGTGTCACCCCCTTTGAAGAGGGGGATGACCGCGGCAGCTTTCCAATCTCTGGGGATCTCAGATGATACGAAAGAGAGGTTGAACAGGCTAGTAATAGGGGTTGCGACAATTTCCGCGGCTAATTTTAGAAAGAACGGGTCCAAATTGCACCTCAAAGCACTGAAAAAATCCTCAATAAGCAACAAGAAATGGCAATTTAATTTAATATTGAATTGAAATTGCAATTACCTAATCTCCTAAATTTTTATGGAATTGATCCCAACTAGGGTTGCAAAATTCCAGGAATTTAAAATAAATTCCCTGGTTTCCCAGTACCAGAAATCCTGGTTGGAGATATACGGATTTCCTGCTTATTCCCTTCTGATCCCTGGAATCCTCCAACCGTGATATCGGGAAACCAGGGTATTCGAAAATTCCCGGAATTTTGCAACCACAATCCTGTCCCTGAAGCTCTGGTCCCGTTCGTGCGCTACACCCTGGACCAGGTTCTTAACACACCCACAAAGTCATAAACCCCGCCTATTTCTACAATTAATCTTCTTAAAATCTAATTTTAAACCTAACCCTAACCACACTGCTAACCTTACACCCAACCTCAAATTAAAAACAAAAAGCAAATGTTTGTTTTCATAAATGTTTACGATATAGCCTAATTGATTTTGAGGCTGTGCTATCTAGTTGAAACACTGGACCCAGAGCTACCAACCCTGCAAACTCACTTTTCCAAAATGCTACCGAGTAGCTTAGTAACCTACTTTCCAATGGATATTAAATTGTAAACCCAAAACCAGTCTAACTTAAGTTACGCAAAAATCAATTTCCTAAAGAAATTAAGATAAAGAGAAAAACATCTGATGAGGTGCAAAATCAAGCAAACTAAAGTTAGCTAGCTAGCTATCTAAGCTATCTATTTTAGCAGCTAGCGGTTGTTGCTAGCTAGCTAGGTGGGTCGCCCTAATATTATGACTGGTGAGCATATAAGCAAGCTGGCCAATGTAAATGCATAAGAGTTTACCTTTTTTGAGGCTGCAATTCTAAAAATATCCAGAAAGGTATAATATTTTTGACAACTAGCTAGCTTACTCAAAGATGCTTTCTAATTATTATTTTTTGGTCAATGAACATCTCTGACGTCATATCCGGATCCGCTCCAATCATGAAGTTGGTTATCCTGTACCCTTTTTGCGCATCATGCAGTTGCGGTTGAACTTCTTCTTCGATGAGGTTTAACGGCGGTTGGCATCCAATAAATGTTACATTACCGCTCCCTAACAGACTGGAGTATAACTCCCTTATACTTTGTTTAAAAAATATATATATTATAATACCATACTCATTTACATTTTAGTCATTTAGCAGACGCTCTTATCCAGAGCGACTTACAGTTAGTGAATGCATACGTTATTATTATAAAAAAAAAAATAATCATACTGGCCCCCCATGGGAATCGAACCCACAACCCTGGCGTTGCAAACACCATGCTCTACCAACTGAGCTACATCACTCCACTATTTAAATCTATTTAGTCCTGCTTCAGGCCAACAGCCTGAAAGGATGGAACACCACCACTTAACACACCCTGTAACTCTTCTGATGTCAAGTCTCGCACACCCAAATACCTCTCTGCAGCTGCCACCACAACCTCTATTTTCTGTGACTTACGTTCCATCCCTGCAGTACAGTTGATAACCATTGCTATAAATTCAAAAAATCCAATCTTACTGAAACATATACAGTGAGGGAAAAAAGTATTTGATCCCCTGCTGATTTTGTACGTTTGCCCACTGACAAAGAAATGATCAGTCTATAATTTTAATGGTAGGTTTATTTGAACAGTGAGAGACAGAATAACAACAAAGAAATCCAGAATAACGCATGTCAAAAATGTTATAAATTGATTTGCATTTTAATGAGGGAAATAAGTATTTGACCCCTCTGCAAAACATGACTTAGTACTTGGTGGCAAAACCCTTGTTGGCAATCACAGAGGTCAGACGTTTCTTGTAGTTGGCCACCAGGTTTGCACACATCTCAGGAGGGATTTTGTCCCACACCTCTTTGCAGAACTTCTCCAAGTCATTAAGGTTTCGAGGCTGACATTTGGCAACTCGAACCTTCAGCTCCCTCCACAGATTTTCTATGGGATTAAAAATAATAATAATAATAATATGCCATTTAGCTAGGCCACTCCAGGACCTTAATGTGCTTCTTCTTGAGCCACTCCTTTGTTGCCTTGGCCGTGTGTTTTGGGTCATTGTCATGCTGGAATACCCATCCACGACCCATTTTCAATGCCCTTGCTGAGGGAAAGAGGTTCTCACCCAAGATTTGACGGTACATGGCCCCGTCCATCATCCCTTTGATGCGGTGAAGTTGTCCTGTCCCCTTAGCAGAAAAACACCCCCAAAGCATAACGTTTCCACCTCCATGTTTGACGGTGGGGATGATGTTCTTGGGGTCATAGGCAGCATTCCTCCTCCTCCAAACACGGCGAGTTGAGTTGATGCCAAAGAGCTTGATTTTGGTCTCATCTGACCACAACACTTTCACCCAGTTCTCCTCTGAATCATTCAGATGTTCATTGGCAAACTTCACACGGGCATGTATATGTGCTTTCTTGAGCAGGGGGACCTTGCGGGCGCTGCAGGATTTCAGTCCTTCATGGCGTAGTATGTTACCAATTGTTTTCTTGGTGACTATGGTCCCAGCTGCCTTGAGATCATTGACAAGATCCTCCCGTGTAGTTCTGTGCTGATTCCTCACCGTTCTCATGATCATTGCAACTCCACGAGGTGAGATCTTGCATGGAGCCCCAGGCCGAGGGAGATTGACAGTTCTTTTGTGTTTCTTCCATTTGCGAATAATCGCACCAACTGTTGTCACCTTCTCACCAAGCTGCTTAGTGATGGTCTTGTAGCCCATTCCAGCCTTGTGTAGGTCTACAATCTTGTCCCTGACATCCTTGGAGAGCTCTTTGGTCTTGGCCATGGTGGAGAGTTTGGAATCTGATTGATTGATTGCTTCTGTGGACAGGTGTATTTTATACAGGTAACAAACTGAGATTAGGAGCACTCCCTTTAAGAGTGTGCTCCTAATCTCAGTTTGTTACCTGTATAAAAGACACCTGGGAGCCAGAAATCTTTCTGATTGAGAGGGGGTCAAATACTTATTTCCCTCATTAAAATGCTAATACATTTATAACATTTTTGACATGCGTTTTTCTGGATTTTTTTGTTGTTATTCTGTCTCTCACTGTTCAAATAAACCTACCATTAAAATTATAGACTGATCATTTCTTTGTCAGTGGGCAAACTTACAAAATCAGCAGGGGATCAAATACTTTTTTCCCTCACTGTATCACTTGTTGCTTTATCCCTCTGTACTGGTACAGATCTACTACTCACACCACTCCTCTCAGGATCCCTCCACCTTAACCCATCTTCCTCTACTTTCTTCACTGCCTCAGCATATTACAACTTCTGCACTACTCTAACCCTGGAAACCTCAACCTGCCTCTCTTGCATGGAACATTTCTGATCCCCAGCCCCATGGGAACCCCTACAATTAACACATACCAATACTTTCCCCAATGTTACACATTCCTTTGTCTCATGCCCTTCTGCAAACTTCTCACACCTAGGAACCTCCCTCCTACACACTGCTGCCACATGCCCATAAGCTTGACACCTGTAACAACGTAATGTATTCGGCACAAATGCTCGTACAGGATAACTTATATATCAAAACTCAAAAGAACAGACAATGACTCCTCTGTTTCTCCACTCACGCCACCCTGTCTGTGTCGCACTAAACGACGAGCATCACAAACACCTGGAATCTTCCCCTTCAGTTGGTCAGCTTTCACATTTACCGCTACCCCAGTAATCACTCCTTTCAATGGCGCCCTTTTCTTGAGAGCAAAACAATTCACATCTCTTGTCCCCATTAATTTAACACAGAGTGCCTGCTCCCTCTGATCAGCAGAAACACAAACAATTATCACAAGACCACTTCTGGTTACCCTCACCGATTCCACAGCACCCAACTCTGTTTTCACCCACCCTGAAACCACAAATGGATCAGCCAAAAGGCAAGGGTCCACTTTTTCCAAAAACTTCACTCTTACTGTCACAGACTCATCTTTATCCTGACCCTCGGTGCAAGCCTCGGGCTCCGAGAACTTCACCACACCTACCACCTCCGATACTTCGCCCTCATTTGCTTTCCATTTCTCCTCCTGTCTTCAACTCACTCTGCTTACACATTCTACCATTCTTCTTTAACCAACCATCTCCCTTTTTTCCGCCATTTTTAACCGACTCAAGTTTACCCTCTTCCTCCATCTCTCTTAGACCTCCTCTGCATCTCTTTTCCCCTCCATTCATCCTCCGTATTCCAAGTATAACTCTCCTTATGATAATACTGCACTTCTCCTGACATACATCTTGTTCTTGCCTTGTCAAGGGACACCATTTAATCGGCTGTCACAATCTCCGTACAATCAGCACCTAATAATAATAATAATAATATGCCATTTAGCAGACGCTTTTATCCAAAGCGACTTACAGTCATGCGTGCATACATTTATACCTACTCGTTGCCTCAGAGGGCCTAACACTCGACATGCGTTTCCATTGTTAGAGCCCTTGCATTTGAACTCTATCTGACAGTCTTCACATCAAATCAAATCAAATCAAATTTTATTTGCCACATGCGCTGAATACAACAGGTGTAGACATTACCGTGAAATGCTTACTTAACAGCCCTTAACCGACAATGCATTTATTTTTAATAAAAAGTAAAATAAAACAACAACAACAAAAAAGTGTTGAGAAAAATAACAGTAGGGAGGCTATATACATGGGGGTACCGGTGCAGACTCAATGTGCGGGGGCACCGGCTAGTTGAGGTAGTTGAGGTAATATGTACATGTGGGTAGAGTTAAAGTGACTATGCATAAATAATAAACAGAGTAGCAGCAGCGTAAAAAGATGGGGTGGGGGGGGGCAGTGCAAATAGTCTGGGTAGCCATGATTAGCTGTTCAGGAGTCTTATGGCTTGGGGGTAGAAGCTGTTATGAAGCCTTTTGGACCTAGACTTGGCGCTCCGGTACCGCTTGCCGTGCGGTAGCAGAGAGAACAGTCTATGACTAGGGTGGCTGGAGTCTTTGACAATTTTGAGGGCCTTCCTCTGACACCGCCTGGTATAGAGGTCCTGGATGGCAGGAAGCTTGGCCCCAGTGATGTACTGGGCGGTACGCACTACCCTCTGTACTGCCTTGCGGTCGGAGGCCGAGCAGTTGCCATACCTGTTGGTGATGCAACCAGTCAGGATGCTCTCGATGGTGCAGCTGTAGAACTTTTTGAGGATCTGAGGACCCATGCCAAATCTTTTCAGTCTCCTGAGGGGGAATAGGCTTTGTTGTGCCCTCTTCACGACTGTCTTGGTGTGTTTGGGCCATGATAGTTTGTCGGTGATGTGGACACCAAGGAACTTGAATCTCTCAACCTGTTCCACTACAGCACCGTCGATGAGAATGGGGGCGTGCTCAGTCCTCTTTTTTTTTCTCCTGTATTTCACAATCATCTCCTTTGTCTTGGTCACGTTGAGGGAGAGGTTGTTGTCTTCACATATTGCAGATGTTAGCCTAATCTTCAGATTTGTTAGTAAAAAAAAAGAGGGAAAAAATAACAAGCTATTACAGTGCCTGGCTGGCACTGTCGGCCCTCTGATTGGACCAGCAAAGTGTCAATCAACACAGATCGGGTTAGCTATCGAACAGCTTGCTGATTTTTCCTATTTTGTTGCATTACAACCTGTAATTTAAATAGATTTTTATTTGGATTTCATGTAATGAACATACACAAAATAGTCCAAATTGGTGAAGTGAAATAAAAAAAAGAAATTGTTAAAAAAAATTCAAAAAAAATAAATAACGGAAAAGTGGTGCGTGCATATGTATTCACCCCTTTGCTATGATGCCCCTAAATAAGATCTGGTGCAACCAATTACCTTCAGAAGTCACATTATTAGTTAAATAAAGTCCACCTCTGTGCAATCTAAGTGTCACATGATCTCAGTATATACACCTGTTCTGAAAGGCCCCAGAGTCTGCAACACCACTAAGCAAGGGGCACCACCAAGCAAGC